TAGTGTGTCACTACTTTATAAAAGACATTTTAAAAAGTGATGGCTTTGGGAAATGCTGGTATTAGAGAGAAAACAATACTGAAATGTGCATGCATAACATGACAGCTACCAGACAACCAGGGTCACCCAGCGTTCCCGAGACAGTCTCCAGGGCATGGGGCTCCACTGCTATTGGATTTTCCAATTTGTCCACAGACTGCCCACAACCTGTCCAGGACTCCCATCATTTTCAAAGTATCTGTGCAGGGCAAATGGAACACAAATGAGCAGGCACTACACAACGACCAGCGCCTGTCTTGCCCCTGCCTGTCCCGTTGGCCTTCCGGCCCTCTGCTTCAGAACAGGTGCAGCACCCACCACAGAGGCGTGCTGGACTTCACGTCCCAGGCCACCCAAGACGAACTGGGCATCACATGCAACTACCTACACTGAGAGGAACACTGGGGAAGTGGGGTGCAAGCTCCCAAATACACACAAAACACAAAGCGCGGTGTGCTGCAGCGCAATGGCAGACAACGGACCTCGAGAGCGAGCCACCTGTCAAACTAGCTGGGCAAGGAGAAAGCGCAGGGGCGCCCCTCCCTGCCCTGGGAAGCTCTATTTCCCCCGCGATCCTGGGCGGCAACTGTGGCCCTGCTGGCAGCGCTCAAGGTCCTGGGAAGGGCCCTCCTGCCCCAACCCCACGCACGGCCTGCCGAAACGCTCTCCAGGCATCACTAACAGGTTTTAATTAAGAGCTTAAGCTTCCCAGACTCCAGCTTATAAACAGGAATACAAAAATAAAAAGTCTTAATGCTCTTTAAGTAAATGCACTGTTTATCTGCAGCCCCTTTCTATATCTGCTCTCACATGTACTTTAAGAGAAAACGACACACAAAATCACATCAACCTAAACGTAACGTGCTGACATGAGACACTGGTAAAATACCCTGCAACTTGCAAAACCCAGCAACCGTCACTCCACTCCCAGAGCCCAGCTAACATGCAATTACTCCAAAGGGCCTGTCAAAACTGATTCTAAATTTAAACAGCAAACATGCATCAGAGACAGGCAAAAAATAAGACTTCTTTGTTTTTCTCTATGCTGAAAGTATTTATTTAAATTAAAAACCTGTCCTGACTTCAATTGTGTAATTCAAGGAGATTGAATAATGTTTCTTAATTTTAGAACAAATTAAACATTTCTAAAAGGAATATGATAGGCATTATTTGAGAAATACAGGCTTTATTTTAAAATTGTACCATGCCTAGGGGTAGAAAAGGAGGGAAAAAACAATAGGAGAATTGTTTCATGAATTATCCAACATCGTCTCCGCAGAACATTATGTGCAGGAGGTAGAAATGATCTTTACAAAGATTTAATGATATGGGGAAACCTTATGCTATAAGGGTAAGTACAAAAAAGCCTGCAATAATGTGATGCATAATATACTCTTGACTGCATAATATCACACCGGCAGCACAAAGGCGAAGCACAGAAGACAGACTCAGAGGGAAGATGACATCAGAGCTCGAGTGAGGCTCCTGCTGCGTGGCGTGGCAGCCCCGCAGCCTGCGGGACCCCCGACTGCCGAGCACCACCCAGGGACCGTCCGGAGGGCAGCCCAGGCGGAAGGCCACACGGGTCCTCCTTCCCCAGACCCACACCTAGACATGGTCCCGAGGGCCCAGAGAAAGTGCTGCAGCTAACTGCAGCCTGCCAGGATCCACCAGGGCAGCCACAGCCAGATCAGAGAAAGCAGAGAGCCAGCCCCACCACCAGCGCGGAACTGACACAGCTAGGGCAGGTGCAGGTTCACCTGGGGGACAGCGAACACCTGTCTACGCAAAGGGCGAAACTGAGGGTCCTTCCTCAGCCTCCCAAAAAAGCGAATCTTAATCAGAGAACACAGACACAGTTAAATATTTTCAACAGTGGGACAGTCAAATGTGCCAACCCTCTCCTTCATATGTGCCTATACCTTCCAATAGCTCTACACTCAGCATTTCTCTTAAATAGATTTAAAAGCTGAGGCTCTGTTCTCTTTATTGCATGTTAAGTAGAAACATTTTTCGGGATTCCGTGGAATACCATGATGCACAGAGCTCCTGTCTGCGCACAGCATGACACACATCAGACCATCCTGAGGCACAAGGGACCAGTGACCACCAGAGCAGGACACAAGAGGAAAGCCCAGCCCTGGGCTCTCCGCGCAATTCTGCCTCACCCTCCACACTGCTTCTCTGCCTCCGACCACCCGGCTGGCTTCCTGCCAGAGATCAGCATCACCCTTCCTGTGGGGAAGAAGTAATTAGCTCGAGGAGCCAAGGTCCTGCTCAAACAGCGGACCACTTCCAACATCTCACTGCAGGCCGCAGGTGTAGGGAGGCTTCTTCAGCGCAGGCACCAGCAGGCAGGCCATCCACCCACACCCAGGGTGGTGCAGCTCTGCTCAGACAAGCGGGCGGCTGCCTCCAGCTGGAAGACCACTGTCCGGTGCTCACTCAGGCCTCCTGTCCTCCCAGGAGAACCATCGGGAGTGCACCGTGGGTGAGGGGGTTGCCGGCTCGGGCACACAGTACACGCACATTCCCAGAACACTGCCGTCAGTCTGAGGTCGCTGCCTGAGGACCCCAGTAGAACCCGCAGCCGTGTGCCACACTGCAACTCTGAAGAAAAAAGAAAAGCTGCCCATGCCAGGAGGTGGTGCCCATACAGACCAAGACTAACACTACTCGTCCTGCAAAGGCCTCAACCGCCGCCACCTGACAGCCCGGGCTGTGCCACCACATTACCACAGCGCTAAGGCATGCAAACTGCAGAGTCCTACTGCCAGCAGGCCTTATCTCTGCAGATCTTCCTAAGCACAGCACCAGAGGCTCACCTGCTTCAAGACCCAACACCCCGGGGACTCAGTGTACCACACAGCGCCTCGGAGAGCCTTCACATTTACAGGGTCCTTGAGGCCACAACCAAAGGAACCAGGACCTGAGGACCTGCTCCTCAGGCTCAGGCACACCTGAGACTCGCCCTGGGGTCTCCCCGCAACCCCCCAGCCAGCGCTCACCTCTGCCACCGGGGCACTTTGGTTCCTGGCCAGCCTGGCTGGTCCCCACACCCAGAGCTCCTACTCACCCTTCAGACCGTGCTGAAATGTCACCTACTCGGGAAGCTTCCTCTTGATAACATGAATGCTAATTACTTTAATTAAACTTTTTAATCACTCTTCTAAAAACCTGTCTTCCCCGCTACAACCCAGAGCTCCAAGGGGGCAGCTCATCCATCTGCATGCCTGGCGCAGCTGGAGGTTCGGAGACGCGCAGACCAGGTGGGATCTCCCTGTGGGTGCCGGCACCCCCAATACAGCCCGAAGTCTGCTGAAGGACAAACTTTAGCCCCAGAAGGGAGCAAACTGGTGCTCCAGGAAATGGACACAGATGTCAGGCTGGGCAGCACAGTGAGAGATGGGCCTGGGCCATTGTAACGATCATTCCTCATCCCAGGAAGCGAGACTGGAAAACGGCCGCAAATCCACCGATCAGAGCTGAAATCTAGACCCAAAATTCTTCAGATGTCCACTTAATAAAAGGTACATTTTTACACAAATGTTTCAAAGTGACACTGGACCCCTAATCAATGGCAGGGGTGCTCATGGGGTGGGAGGACGCTACAGGGAAAGCTGCCCAGCAGTGCTGAGCTGAAGTCGCCACGTGCAGAGAGAGCGCACCCGCCATCTCCCCCACTTGTCCTCTCCCCAGATGATTAACAGGGCCATGTCCCTCGTCCAGTCTTGCCGATAATCAGGAGAACGTACTGAGAATCGCCAGCGTCTTACAGCATGAGTTGGTGGCAAAGTAGTTAAGACAAACTTATTTACCACATTAATTAAATGGTCTATTTCACACGGAATATCAATCCTCTAGTCACATCTCAGCTGAGCTTCTTCTTTCAATTAACGACTCCGGGCTACTGACAGAGGCCCTACTGTTCCGGGCTCATTAAGAACATTTTCATTATCTGTCAGACGAGGGCTGAGGAGCAGAGTGTGGTGTCCAGGAAGGGGTGCCCAGGCGCGGCCTCCCCTGCTTAGGAGACGATGAGGGAGGCCTCACCGGCCTCGGAGCTGCTGAGCAGGCGAAGACCTCCCAGGAAACCACAGGTGGAAGCAGGGTGCCAGGGGCTGCAGGAAAACCTCGCAGCCGGGTCTGCGCTCCTCGCTGGGGACGGCCTGTGCCCTAACTACCCTGCCGCTCAGGCCACCACAGCCACCCGGCCTGCAGGGGACACAGCGGCCAGGCCACCTCTCTCAGCAGCCAGCCAGGCTGAGCCGGGCAGGTCCTGGAGGACGCAAGCACTCAGGGAGGCCCTCCCAGTGTTCCTACTGCCAGGGGAATTAAACAGCACACACGTATCACTCTTGTTCTTTTTAACAATTGAAAACACACTTAAAATAGGTGAAGTTATTAGTTTGCTGTTCTAACATAAATAAAAGAAAAATACCCAGCATTTAGAGACATACCACAGCCCAACTGAATCTCCAGGAAACTCATTATTCCACGTGTAATATGCCAATGAAATGAATGTGATTAGTACATCAAACGTAGAAAAGACATGAAATGCCACAGAAACACAAAGATTTGGTTTTTACCTTGTAAGCAAAAATACCCAATTAGTAGACTTATCACTTTCACCTTATCCACTTCAGTGCAAACCACCAAAGCCAGTGCTTCCACGGCCATTAAAAATAAACTCCCAAACATAGTCATTTCTCTTAATTTGATGATTATTATCGAGGATGGTGCCAACAGTGACGCTGCATTAACACCCTCGGCAGGTAGGCAGGTTCCGATGTATTTTAAAGACAGCATCAACAGTGGTACTATTATTCTCTATTACTTTTCATCCTCGGTATCCTGAACTGCATGGTAATGTTTACTACACGTATAATTCTGCAGAGTGACAGGGAGTCCACAGCGGCCCATGTTTCACGTTGGTGGGAGCTGTTATGCTACAATCTTACCTGTGTACTCACAAATGAAGACCACAAAGAAAGGAGTGACCAGGTCATTTATCCCCTGAACGTATCCACTGGCAGGATGACGGATGGCCCATATAAACAGGATCCTTTCAAAAATCTGAAAGAAAATGGAACAGATGGTGAAGCAAAAGATCTGCGAGCAGAGGCTTTAAAATCCATCCACTCTTTACTTAAAATACACACTACTGACGTAGCTTCTATGTTTCTGATATGACAGTGCAAATACCATAAATAAACACCCCTGCAGATTAATCAGTGATCTGTAAAAGCCCACTGCTCCTGCCTTTCTACCGAGCGCTGAGCGCTGCACAGTATTTTGCGGCCCCCTCGGTCGTGCTCATCCTCCCTAGCTCCCGAGAGCTTCCTGCTCCTCCAGGCCCCACCGGGCAGCACTGGATGGGGCCGCACACAGCGCAGGGGCACTGTGTGTTTCCTCAGAGATGGCCGGAAGGGCAGATGGAAGGATGGACAGAGGCATGGACGGATGGCCAGATGGATGTGTGCATGCACATTCTGAATCCCCCCCACGAGGCAACAGAGTCCTTCAAGGCCCTGGGTGTCCTCACCATCCAGGAGGACAGACAGGCACTCAGCGAGGGAGCCTCCTCCCCTCCCGCAGCGCGCCATCCCGTTATCTTCCTACTCAGCAGCTCAGCCCCAGCCCTGCCACCTGCCTCACCTTTGTTTCTGAGAGGAATGTAAAGAGATGCGACGCCATTCCACACATGCACAGCCCACACCCACACGTGGCGTCAAGGCCTCTCTTACTGTTCTCCTGCCACATCCTCTAGATCGGACCCTCCCCCAAGGTTGGCCCTGGTACCACCCATATTCCAGCCACCCCAGGGAGACAGCCCCCTACCCACAGCGTGCAAGGCCTTGGCTCCCACTGCCTGCACAGCCTCGTCCTCTGTGCTGAGCTGACCTCTCCTGCCTGCAAGGTCCACTCCAAGTGTGCTCCCTGCAGCCATCTGCTCCTCCCCAACCTCTTTCTGGAAAGGCCAGTGCTTCCTACACTGTGACACTTGTGGCCGCCTCCTACCTGAACCTGGGGCCCTCAAAGGCCACGGCCAGGTCTGATGTCTCCACCAAGCCCCACAAAAGCAAAGCACATAGCAGAGACTTGCGGTGTGCAAAGAGGGCCCTGGAGCCCAGACTAGCAAGCCCTTCACCTAGCAGCGTCCAAGCTCGGAAGCTCTTCACCCAGACCCTCTCGGCACCCACGCTGCAGCCCCATCCACCAGTCCACGGCATGGCTCAGTGACTCGCAGAGAACCCCCCGTCATGCTGGAGGCCCCAGAAACGCTTGCTGAGTGAGGGACACAGCGGAGCGCAGACATACACTTTCATTTCAGGTCCACGGCTCTCTAGAGAAAATGATTTGAGTAAGTTCAAAGATCAGAATCATATCACAACACAGCACTCTTCAGATAGCTCTCACGTGCAGAACCTGGCCACTGGCAGGGAGGTGCCAGCACTCCACACCCTGCCCAGACAGGTGCCCAAATGACAGACCACAGCACCTCAGCACGGGGTCTGCACACAACTCTCCCTAACCAGGCTGCGACACCCCACGGGGGCTCGAATGTGCGCGTCTGCATCCCACGTTCTGCACTCTGAGCAGGGTCGAGGTAGGAGCAGAACACAGAGGCTTGCTTACGTTCAAAATTAAGTACTGGAAAACAACCCTCTCAAGCAAAGCATCACAGTGCCACAATTAGGAGGACAGATTTCAACGCCACCGACAGCATTAGACCAGAGTGCAGCCGGAAAATCAATAAATGGTTCGGAGGTGCTCTGCGAGTGAAAAAGGACTGACTGCCTTCTATTTCTGGCAGTTAGGGCTCATTAGATGTCAGCAAACTCACACACAGCCGGCATGACCAATCCAGGCTTATTTCCGGAATGTGCAGTTGGCCCAGGACCAGGAAATCACACCAATAAAGTCCGTCACATTAACAGACTAAAGAAATACAAACATGACCTCAGATGATGGGAGGAAAAAGGACTTGATAAACCTCAGCAAACATCACAGCTTCAAGGGCAAGGTCCCTTCCTCACCCCAAAAGCATTCGGGGAGCAGCGCTCAAGATTTGCCACTAAAAGCAAATCAAAACAACACCAAGTGAAGCTCCTTCTACTCCAGAAAGAACAGCTCCAGTGTGAACTCAGAAAACCAAGGGAGGTGAGGTTGGGAGGGGGAAGAAGCCCGCTCCATGGTCGGTGCAGGGGTAGCAGTGTGGGGCTTCTCAGCAACCTAAAGGCAGGGGCTCCCGGGCCCTGCTCTCCCTCCTCTGGGGCCACTCTGGGAAGAGCTAACGACACCACATCACAGTGACACGCACACCCAGGGCTACACCAGCGCCACTCGGGACAGCTGCCCCTCGGGAGCGGGGAGGGGAGTGTGCTGCTCCCACCCTGCGGGGCGCTGCTCTGCCACGAAGAAGGGGAACCGGTCATCTGCAGGAAAACCGACCCGGCTGGGGAGCAGAAGCCCAGGGAAAGCAAAGCGGACACCGAAGGGGAACATCACACTGCTTCTCTCCTACGAGCACCCTGCACTGTAAGTCACTCCGGAGCAAACAAAGCGGACAGCAGGACACGGAGGCGCGGAAGGGAAGGAAGGAGGCCGGGATGCGGTGTACACCGAGCGACTCCCCACAATTAAGGTGCTTATTATGTATCTCAGACACACAATAACAAGAAGAAAAGAAGTCTAAAAACATGGAAAGCATAGTAAATGAGATTTCCTTAAAACAAAACGAAGATTTCCCACTAAACTCAGGGCAAGAATGGGTGTCTGTTTTCCCCCAGCTTCATTCAATACTTTAAGGCAGAAGACATTTTAGCTGGCAAAAAATTAAAAATACATGTATAGAAGATAAATATGGGAATACAGATATACGCGTACTAGAAATAAAAAGCCAAACTGTTATCATTCACAAAGCACAGAACTTCATTGAAACTTCAAGTAAATCTGTGCCAATTTTTAGACAGACTGATGGATGGACTACAGACACAAGACCAACTGACGAAGACAAGGCCAAGGCGCGAGGCAAGCCTGAGGGGCGTGCAGCTCAGAGCAGAGCTGGCTTTCCTGGGCCTCCCTCCTTCCCTCCCTCTCTCGGTGCGGCACCTGGAGGCAGACTGCTGCTCGTCACCGCTGCAAGGACCGGCTCCATTATCCTCGGCTGTGGAAGAGCAATGCCTTATGACAAGACTAAAAATGCTACAGCCGCGTATGCAGTTGATATACAGAATACGACGTGGGCAGCTTTCAAACAAGTTGCGAAGGTACCAAAATCCAAAACCAAAAGCCTCAAGATTGGGATGGAAACACGGAGGAACAAAAGGAAATTTTAAAAACAAAATGTTTTTAAAGGAAACGCCTTTATCAGAGACACTAAATACTACACTCTTGCTCTAATGATGACATAAATCAACAAATGAAGTTTGAGCTCTTTAGGATGACTCTAAATGTATTTGGTTTGTTAAACGTACAGCTGATCCCTCTATAATGTTTCTTTGCGGAGGCTGGAAAAAGGCCGGATTGCTCATTTTGTGATTGTAAGACACATTTTGCTAAAAAAAAAAAAATTAACTGAGGAAAGTCGACTGCATGTCTATAAACTGGCAATAAAAAATAAAACAATGAAATTAAAAATTCCAGCTAGGTATGGTCAGTGCACCCCTGTTATCTTGTAATTGGGAGGCTGAGGCAAGAGGATCATTGTAAGTTCGAGACCAGAGTGGGCGACAAAGTGAGCCCAAGGCGGCTGAACTGCATAGCGAGACCCTGTCTCAAAAGGACAAAAAAAGAAAAGAAAGAAATTAAAATTTCAAAGGACAGCATTTATAAAGCTATACCCATGAATAAACTTAACAAATGTAGAAAAGATCAGGAGAACTGAATACATCCAAAAACAAAATAATTCTCTTCTAACCCCAACAGGCTCGACTTAATTCCTGAGATTTCCTGAAACCTAAACATGGCCCGTAACACACACCAGCTAAGGTCACAGGTGCCGGTGTGCGTGGGCTGTCCCACCAGGCTCACAGCGCCACAGCCAGCGAGGCGAGGCGGGACAGGACAGGAGAGACGGGCCAGAGGAGGGAGGAGGAGCCCTGCCTGCGGGCGCCCACAGCAGCACCCGAGAGGACAGGACGGACGGTGCTGTCCCGCAGCAACCTGGAAGGGAACAGCGCAGGCAGCTCGGGGAGGCTCCGCTCCTCCACCGGGAAGGCAGTAAAACTCGGGAGAACCCGGACACCTCGGGACGGCGGGCAGGAGAGCACGTCTCACACGGAGGGCCGCCTGGCTCCTCCGCGAGGGGAGAGCTGGGCACCCACCCACGGCAGTCCGCGCAGGCAGCAGGCACAGAGGAAACGGGTAACAGACGTGTTTCAAATCTGTGAGGGACGAAACAGCCTGGCGACCCCAGCTCCTTCTGCTTTTAAGCTTGACACTGGAGAGCTGAAACTAAATTTTTAACTTTTTCTTGAAGTTAGACACAAATGTGAGAAACACTCTTCTGCTCCAATGTTTTCACCTATAAAACTAAGAGGGAAGCTCCGGGGCTGGGACCCGGCCTGTGCCCGGAGGAGGGACGGACTGATCAGAGCACGGCACGTGTGACTTCCGGGGCTCCGGTCACGGCAGCCTCGGTCCTGAAGGACAAAGCGGACACAGAGGACACTGGGTCCCAGCGCCCCCGCCCAGGTCTCGGGGTCACCTGGCACCTGTGCTTGCCACCAAGAATGCCCATGCAGGGAGAAGAGCGACTAGATGGCAGAAGGTGCCAGAAGACACTGGTGGGCAGGGAAACAGGGCCACCTCCTGGCTCCACAGGGCTCCCAGGCTCTGGGGAGACCCCAGCCACACAGTTCATTCACTCAGGTCCCTTGATGGACTTGCGGTGCCTGGGACAGAAAACACCCAAGTGAGGCTCAGCCAGCAACTCCCAGGCCAACAGAGTGGAGTGGGTAGTGCCCAGGCCAGAGGGACCTGTCCAGGCCCTGGGGTCACCAGGGTAGGTGGCCAGCAAAGGACAGCACAGCAGACACAGGCTGCCCAGCAGGACTTGGGCCCTACCCTGCATGCAGACCCCCGGCCAGCCCCGTGCAGGCCGCCTGCTCCACGGCTGGGGAACCGGCCACCACAAGGGAAGCATCTGCCAGGATCTGCGGCCTAGAAAAGGCCCTTCCTTTAGGTCACAGAGGCTCCGCACTGATTCTAAGCAGGAGAGGAGAACTGGGCCTCCCAGGCCCGCAGGCTCCCTGGCTGTCTGTGCACACGGAAACAGACACCGCTGCTCCACGGCTAACTGGAAAAGGGCTCTTACTTCTGTGATTTGTGAAATGCCTAAAAAGCAGATCACCAGAAAGCAAAGAAAAAGGACAATGAAGAGGAAAAGGCCCTAGGCAGGTGACCAGCGTATCCCCAGGAAAGGCCCCAATGCCACGCTTGAACAGGGTTTCCCAACACACCCCTGTGTTGGTGAGCGCTCCTGCACACAGGCAGCAGAACACACCCGCGGGAGCCTGACACAGGCAGAGCTCACCGTCTGCGCCCCAGACGTCGGCAAAGCCGGAAGGAGAAAGGAAGGACAGGGCAGCCAGTGACCACACCTGTAACCTCAGCCACAGGAGGCCACCGCGGGAGTGTCCCATGTGCTCAAGGCCGGCCTGGGCTACACAGTGAGACTCTGTCTCAAAACTTTAAAAACAAATGTAAGATGAGGAAAACAGAACTAGAGACAGACAGAAAGGTGATGGGAGAGCAAGGAGGCCGTGCCCAGCACAGAGCCGACCATCGGTGCTGAGCACATGGCACAGACACGCGGTGGGGGAAGAGAACTTCAGGCAGAAATCCCCGCTGAGCAGAGGGAAGCCCGCATGTCAGCAGAGCTCCTGAGGTGACGGCCCTGGCTCCCACACAGCTGGACACGACGGCGAGCCCGGGGTACAGGCAGCAGTGCTGAAGGGGCGCGTGCCCTCCTCCCGGCGTCTGGCTGTGACTCCAGCCAGGGGAGTGCAGACGTGAGGCAGAGCGCTAAGCAGCCAGCCGGGCCCTCGAGCTCAAGCCGAACAGAGGAGCGGCTAATTCACTGGCAGAGGACTCGCTGGAGATGCTAATAGACTCCCCACTTGTGACATGGAGATTGTTATGGATTTGCTGTCACCGAAAGATGCACCTGGCCAAACCTCCACAATGGGAGAAATCACAACGGCACCCTGCCAAGGGGAGACCAGCTCTCCAAGACCTTGGGGGAGGGGTCTGGGCCCTTGCTCATCGCCACCCCATCCAAAGCCAGGCCGGCTCGAGGGTCCACTCAGCACCCAAAGCGGCCAGCACGAGCCCCACGCCCTCCCTATAGGCCCCCGCCCAGGGTGCACAGTCCCCTCAGACCTGACCGGCAGAGCACCCGTGCCTAGAGGGGAGTTGCTCCCCACCCTCCACTCCCAGGCCCTGCTGACAGCAACGGGCACCTCAGGAGCCACTATCTGGGACCAAGAGGCTTAGGTAAGCTCTCTAAGAAAGTGGCGAGTAGAAGGGTGGAAATGCGCACGCGTAAACCACTTTAAAATGAAGTACAAAGCAGGTCAGGCTGTGCAGGTATTATCTCCCGTCTGCAGAGGCAGCATCTGCAGAGGCAACGAGCTCAGCCCAGGAAGGGCACCGAGGAGAGGCCCTTTTCAGAGCCGCTGTGCACCCGAGACCAGACCCGTCGCACCCCGGGCTTTCCTAACCTCAGAATGTCTTTAATCAGATTTACTGCACAGAAAAGAGACGCCAGCATTTCAAAGTGTGTTTACCAAAGGAATCAGATGCAAAATGACAGACTAATTCAAACAGTAAGAAAATTCCACTTTGACGAACGCCACCTACTTCAGCAACAAAAAGTATGAAATCAAGAATAAATATAAGAAAGCACAAACAAGATTCTATACGCGAGGTATTAAACACTTCACTCCAAGGCATAAACATGGCCTAAAAGAATAGGAAACCAGCATTTCGTAACAATAAAAGCTAAATTTCATAAAGATGCCAGTTCCCCCAAGTGGATCTGGAGAGTCAATGTAATTTTAAGTATAAATCAAACTGACCTTAACAACAAAAAAACGATGATCTGACTCTGAGATTTCAGCCAAACAGCAAAGAGCAAAGCTACGCAAGGGATTCTGAGGAGGACGAAGGCGGATGCGAGCCCCCACCTCCCCCGAATCCTAAGACATCACGAAGCCAGGTTAGTTAACCAAGCGTCCTGCTAAGCACAGACAACTGCACACTGGGACAAACCAGAGGACCCAAAACAGCAGCGGTGACACAAGGAACAGGGAGAGGTGAGCCAGGGTCCACAGGTGGCACCAGGACGGACCTGGTCTTGTCGACACAGCTATCAGTGCAGAGAGATGAAACACGGAGGTGGGAAAGTAGGACGTTAGATCAAAACACCAAAGGACAGCTTGCAAGGTGCGTGCAGGAGGACACTGCTTTAGTAAAGCGCCTCGGCGTAACCAGGAGACCGCCAGCTTCACACTAAGCTTAACAACTGCTCTCTTCGGGCTACCAAGCAGAGAGGGAGACACTGGCCAAGGAAGGGAGAAGATACCCGCAGCACACAGGCTGACCACTGTCACCCCAAAGCTACAAAGATCGACAGCTCGCAAGTGGGTGGTGCAGGTCAGGCAACCCAGAGAACCATCACTCTACCAGTGATCCCAGGTACGAAAGCTTTGGGCGTGACAAGAGTGTCCACCAGGGCGGCGGCAGCGAGCCCTGACAGGGGGGTTCTCTGGGGAAGCCCCTGGGAAGCACACTGGCGTCCTGGGAAGGCCACAGCCACGCGCCTCTGAAACCTCTTGGAGAAAGCCCGGCCAGGGCACCTGTGCCACTGGACGCCACAGTGCGCGTGACACCAGGCTCACAATGCCCGAGAGTCGGCTGAGCAGCCAACAGTGGGAGGAAGGCCGGGAAAGCTGGGGTGACCGGGACAGCGGGCCATGACGCAACTAGCTCCCGCAGGCAGCAGAGAGAGGCGGGATCACACTGCGGAGCCTGAGCCCCAGCCACTACAGCTCTGAGGGAGGGAGGCCGCAGGACCCTCCCAGGGGAAGAGCGCACACAGGAGCCAGGCCAGTCCAGACCCGCCTGCAACACCAGGCTCAGCTTCGAGTTTGCGTGAGCACGGAGTCCAATGCTGGCCAGGTTCCAGTCCTTAAGGCTGGCGTAACACCATGAGTTTACACCAGACACACATATATATTACAAACTTTACGGACAATCAGCAACTCCTATGTCCACGAAGGGAAACTGTCCAGAAACTGGCCGCCCTGCACCTGATTCTGGGTAATGCCCCTCAAGTGTACCCACTGTCTTGCTGGTACTGTGAGCATGGTCCTTCACAGAGACTGAGAGACAGACAGACAGCATGGACTTCCGGTCAAGGCTCCTCCTCTTACCTCCGTCACCTTGGGCTGGAGAATTAACGCTTCGGGGCTCATCCGCGGGATGTCTATGTGGATCTGGAGAAGCAGGAGAAAGAAGCATTTAGTGGGAAGCATGGCAAATACCATTACAAGCATCATGATTCAAAGAGCAGCACTGAGTGCCCCTTCCTCTGCTCTCTCTCTGAGGACACCGATCCCTGTCACCAAGTCCTACTTAAGAGGGGCCGTACAGAAGCACAGGCCAGCTGACCGAGGCTCACCAGTCCGAGGTTGACAGGTTTGCCTGACACTTTCCCAAGCAAGCATGGGTTGCTGCATGGTTAGGAGTGGAGCAGGCCCTCAGCTATTTAGTAACATAATCCATAGCAATTAGTAAACATTGATTTTCAGCCTCTGACACAAGAGAGCAATTCAAGTACATCAATAGTGTACAGGGTTTCAGCAGTGACAGCGCCTTCTTGGAACACTGGCCACATTTTCCTCTACTTCACAAGGTCCTCGGGGAGTCTGGGAGACTTTTCCAAGGAAGCATTTGAACATCTCTGCTGGTATCTGCCAGTTCCTGCCTGGTCTCCATCTGACATGAGTTATAACAATGCTCCCAGCGCTGCAGAGGAGGGCACGCCAGGGTTCATGAAGAAACCAGAAAGGGATGCAGAGCTCACAGCTGGCATCGCAGGCTGGTGCTCACAACCTGTCCCATAAGGATGCCCCACGCCGGCCACTGCTCCCATTCTCCAGGCCAACAGCAGCACAGCAGGCTGAGAGGACACACATCTGGAGCCAGAGGGTCTCTGTGGCTGTGTCACTCCAGGCCCCTCTTGGCCGAGCACAGGGTGGGGAGCCTGCGGTGACCACCTCGCTATGTACTTGCTGGGCTAGGCTGCAGGTTCAACCACCCTGGCTCAGCTCAGCCTCCTGATCTGTAAGATGCCCAACTCTGCACCCTTCCAAGGGCCATTGGTGCAGATCAAGGATGCCTGTGGCCCCCGGCCTACAGGACCAGCTGAGACACATGTGCACCAACGACACACAGCACTGCATGGGTGACGGCACCCTGCAGCCTGGTGGACACAAGGAGGAGCCCTGTCGCAGGCAGGGGACAGGGGCCACCATGCTGACTGCCAGTGTGTCCTGGAGGGCTACACACAGCACATGGCTCCCTACAGTGACTTGATTCTGGGCAGAGCCACTTGGGCACACACTGTCCCCAGACAAGCACCAGGGCTCCTGCAGGACAGGAACTGGGTCTCATCCACCTCCATGTGCCCTGCTTGGCCACCTAATGCAGGACCACAGGCAATGTACACATGCCATGGCCAGCACAGAGCACCCGCCACCAAGGGGAGGGGAACTGCACAGGGCCAGGTGGGCAGGACTGTGACCACTCCCTCCCCTGGTCTGCCTCCACAGTGCATGGGCCTGGGCAAGGGGGACAAGGCCACGACAGGCTGTGGCGTGGCCCCAGAGGGAAGCAAGAGAAATCTTTCACTACAAGCAGCTCTGCGTGGCCTCGGCAGGACATCCATGAATGGGTAAAAGACCAGATGCCTGAGGGATGGGCTGTGGCCACTATCCCTCTGCCGCCCACTGGAGCAGGACATCACCACCCTGGAAGTGCAGGGTGTAGCCCCAAGCCCAGCACAGAGAATCAGGCAGACAGGCAAGCCCACCGCGCCTGGCATCACACTTTCTCATTTATGTCAGTGCACAAAAATTTGAGGAATTCAAAATAAAACAGGATCTTTTTATTACTTATCACAGTAACTAAGTCAAGAGGTGTGCAGCCTGCCTGCAATTAACTTCCCTTCCAGCGGCCCTCAAACCCTGCCACTGCCCTCCTTTGTGAGCCTTCCCCTCACATAAAAACGTACGGAAACCAGGTTCAAAACAATACCAAATTTACCCATTTTGAAGAAAGAGAAAAAATAAAGCAGGTCCGCTAAAATTTCCTTCCCCAAATCCAAACACAATCTGCATCCAATCAGGTCCCTGGGGTTCCTGGGTGTTAGCCCCCAGTGTGAGGTGGAAGGGCAGAGCTGCCTGCAGGGGCTGAGTGGGCCCTGCCCAGCCCCTTCCCTCCTCCACAAGCCACTGTGCCTCCTGCTGGCCCCAGGGAGGCCAACAGACAGGAGGACGCTTCCAAAGAACCTGCTCCCCCTAGAGAACCTCTGATTAGAACTGGAGATACAGATCCACCCCAAGCAACAAGGGGCAGGCTGTGCCAGCAGGACAGGGAGACCTGGCATAGCCCTCCCCCAGAAACAGAGCTTGCGAAGGGAAACACTGAGAGCCTCCGAAAGCCGAAGCTGACTGCAGACACAAGACGATCGAACCACCTGAGAACCAAGCCATTCTGACTTCACACATCGCAGAGAAACTCAGAATTACAAAGTCCTCAGAGAGCGATTCTAACAGCCAATTCTGGGTGTGCTGTGAACTGCAAATCAATTTTAAGTGTTTTCCCCATTATGAGTATCATCTGTTGACTGACTGCTCAAGAAAATGTAATTATACCCATTTTTTATCAAACTAAGGGGCAAAAGAATAAACTGGCTACACCTTTGGCTATGGCCTGAGTTTCATCACGTCAAGTCTAAGGTGACCAGGACACCTCTCATCTCTCTGCACTCACCTCAGAGCCCCTAACTTGACCATACCAGAGAGCACAAGGCCCACCAGCCCCGGGAGCCCCCTGTCACAGTGCCAGGAATAAACAGGTCAGGGCAGCACAGACTCGGATCCTCAGGAGGCAGCTCTCAGGGACGCAAAACACCCACCATCCTCACCCTGCGGCGGTCACACTGCTGAGCAGACCTCGGGCGTCTAATGCACACCTCCAGTCTTGAATACCCTTGAACTTCTGTAAAAGGGCCGCCAGGTATTATCACCAGGGGAAATCAACCATCATTGGTTTCAGATGTTTGCATTTATGTATCGGAAAACAAACACTGGTAACCTGGTCACAGACACGCTAGATGAGACGCTCCTTCCTTTACCATCACCAGACAAACTACTCCAAGAGAAACACCGAGAAGAGCAAGGGCTCCCACCTGTCGGTACGTGTCCTGGTGAACTTCGTCATTCCTGGAATCATAATAGTGCTCAATAAAGGCAAAATACTCTTTCTGTTTTCTCTGCAGAGTGGCTGGTCTTCGGTCTACGTTGGCAGGGAGGTAACCCTAGGAGACAGGAAAAGCGAATAAATATGTATATATGGTTAGTATCCCCCCATGGTGCCACGATTAGAGGCAGGAAATAAAAAAGGCTCACATCTGTGTCAAGTGAAATAAACTGGACATGCAAGCTTAAGTATCACATGGTTTCCTGTACACGAGAAACCCAAAGTCTAAACAGAGCAAACTAAAACACAGAAAACAGAACAGGGAGATGCACCTTGAGCTAAAGTAAAAGGGTCACCCTAACCCTCAGAGCTCGCACTTGCACAAACAGAATGACCACAGTGTCACAAGGCAACACAACTCTGTGTGAACACAGCAAACCCCCAAAATGTGCAAGCTCACACAACTGAGCACACCTGTGCAAACATCGCTTGGGCATCAGCCAAGCGGCCACCCCGGGGCCCCCCAGGAGCCTCCGGATGCTCTCACTGACCTGCTTCTTACAGAAGTGGACAACACAGCACGTGGGGCCTTGTGCTTTACAACAGGGACCGGTCGTCTATTTTCACTGTCCCCTAACACCACCATATACAAATCCATTCTTGTGTCAGTGTTTCTGTTTTAAACATCTTTGTACCTGTATTTACAGCACCAGGCACAGCCGCGCAGCCCTGGGAGTGGACGGCCAACACACACGCCTCTAGAAGAGTTTGCCAAACCGACTGCTCCTGTGACTCCGCTCATCAGAAGTGCGTGAGAACTTCCGCCAGTCTCCATCCCTGTCACCCAGCTTTGCCACGGTGGCCACTCAACGGGTCTGCAGTTTGAACTGGCATTTCCCCGAGGAGCAGCGAGTGCTGTGGTGTGGCCGGAGCTGCGGGGGGCTTCAGGCGCTGCCCCTCCCTGGGAAGCTGTCTGCTCCTCCTTCCGCAGCCTGGCCCAGTCCCACAGCTGGCCGGTGAGCCCTGTGGGAAGTGTCCTCTCCTTCCCCACGGCGTCCACATCTGCTGACACAGGTTCCTGCTCTGACACGGCCCAGGGCGTTCATCTTTACGGCCAGTCCTTTTCACAGACTTTTCAAAAACTCTCCCCATCCCACATTCCATGCCAACACACTGCATTTAAAATCTCGAGCGCACCCCGGAGCTACTGACCACAGTCCCATGGCTGGTACCTATCGTGCAGGTACAGCTGTGCTGGAGCACACCAAGTCCAGGGGTTTCCGCACTCTTCACGTCTATTCCTGCCGCAGCGACATCCTGTGCCTGGTCTCAGACGGCTGCCACATCTCCCACTCAGAGCCTCGCAGAAACAGTGGCAGCCCCGAGCTCCCAGGGGAGCCCTGAAGGCTGCAGGGCTCCCGTCACAGGTGCTTACATACAGGATATGAAACCTGTCCCCTATTTCAAAATCTCTTCTCGCACTCCCGTGGCCCATAGTCTAAAGAACATGGCGGCTAGTAGTGTCTGTCATTTCCTGAGATCACATTGCTACAAGTGAATTGTTAGCCCAAAGGGATACCTAGCAGACGTGACTGAAAAATATGGTGAACGTTTATTTTAAATTAAACAGAAAAGGGCACATCACCATGAAGTTCGATTCCCAGTACCAAAAAAAAAAATGTTATAACTCAGCCTACTGCAGCCCAAATTCTAAAAGGCAAGGACTTCATCATCAGGACACAAGCAAGAAAAGCCCCCCACACACTCCTGACATTCCCGTTCCTAAAGGAAAACACATATACGCAGGTTGAGTCCTTGCGATAATTAAGCAAGACTAAAAATTATGCAAATGAAATATATTCAAGCATGCAATGAATTTTAAGTGACAGAAGTACAGAAAACTTAATTGCTGTATTAGCATGCTATAAAAACACTAATCATAAATGTAAAACAATGCACGCATACACTTATATGTAAATTGTCCGGGTGTCACGAAGCCTGACCGTCCCTCCCACAGCGCCCGTGTGCCAACCCCTGGCAGTGCCAGAAGGGGGTGAGGGGAGCCTGGAGGCTCCTTTTCCATCATCTTTCCATCATCATTCTCGCGGGCATCAGGGTTAAATGTGTAGTTAGTTTTGGTTGTTGCTGAAATAGTTCTTAAAAAGGCAAAACTCTGGTTCTCTACAGGACGCAGGTCTGTAAAAGCCACTCCAGGCTGTGTGGAATGTAAATGCTAAGTGGCCATGCTGGTGGTTACTGGCATTTTGGGGTACAGGATGCCTGAGAGTTCCCCACAAATGGCGGGGCAGTAAGGCTCCCCCACCAGCCCCCAACAAAGCTAATGCCGAGGTCCATATGTACTGGGACAGGCCGCTGGCACAGGGGCCTTGGATGGGGCCTGGTCACCTGTCACCATGACAAGCGCCCTCAGCCCCCGAATCTCTCTCCACCTCGCAGTCCGGGGTGGGCCACTGCTGACCTCCCACTCACAGAGTCGCCTGGGCAAACTGCCCCAGCATCTGCCATCCTGCACTCCCATCACACCCAGCCCCTGTGCTCTGCAGGGACAGCTGAACAGACACCCCGAGCCTCCAGTCCGGACCAGGAGCCCAACCGGGAGCCAAGGCCGAGTGCCTCCTGCACTCCCAGCTGGTGCTGATGTGCGATCTGGCTGGGAAAGTCCAGTCAAGAGCATCCCCCGACCCCGTCCTTGTGGCTCCCAGCAGGTCCCTCCTCCCTCCACAGGGCAGGCGCTCCACAGGATCCCTGCTCACAGCACCCCAGAGCTGGCACCCACCTGACACCCACGTCCAACCCAGGGTCCAACCTGCCCAAGCACCAGACCTGGGACTGCCCTGACAGGCACGGACGACTTGGAACGCCGTCTCTGCATCCCTCGGCCCTGAACTGCTTGCTGGGCTCTCCCCACCATTCTTCAGGTCCCAGGGGCACCCAGACTTACAAAGACCTGGCCAAGGCAGCATGAGAAAGCCCAGCTGAATTGGGGCGAATGACTGGCACCACGTGCAAGCTCCCCACATTCCTGGTGACGGGAAGTACTGTGGGGGACCGTGCCTGGGAGGGGCCACAGGGCCAGAACCACTAGGTGAGAGTCGACAGGTGACACGCCAGCAGGAAGGAAGTGCTTGGCTCCTGCAACACATGCAATGGGCCTGGCTCCCTGAGAAAGAGGGGCAGGAAAGGAGCCAGGCAAAGACACCCCTTCCATGCAGTGCGGGGGACAGCAGAATGGCAGGCACTCTGCTCACTGCAGGCATCAGGGAACAGGACCTGACCCTCACACCACCCCAACACCAGCACCAAATCCAGAGCCTGCAAGCCCCAGAGCGCAGAGACCTCCACGGAAGGACTAGAGGAACCTGCAGGGGTCATCCAGGGACAGCTTGATGGCCACCAGCTGCGGTCTTCCAGTGACTGTGCACCTGGCCTCTGCTGGTCCCACAGCCCTGGCTCCCCAAGCCCGTCCCTCCTGCAGGTGCCCGAGGCGGACAGCCTGTCCCTGGGTTATAACCTCCAGCCCCTCCTCCAGGGAACACTAGTCCCTCTGAACACTAGTCCCTGTGAGAGCGCGGTACTGTCCCGTCCCGTGGAGGACAACTGGAGATCCAGTGTCCAGTTTCCTGAGCTGAGTCCCCTGTGGCCAGGGACAGCTGAACAGACACCCCGAGCAGCCTGTGTTTCTCTGCCTGGTACCACGGGCTCCTGTGTGCAAACTCCCACATCCTCACCCTCCCTCCCCACCGGCAGGTGCGGCTGTCACTGCCGCCCTCTGCTCCTCACTGCCCTCCGCAGATCGTGCACAAGCTGTCCCTTGCACAGATGTGCAAGTAAAGGCACAAACAGCACAAATCCTCCCACACACGACTTCCTCCCAGACGCAGCAAGACCCCATCAAATTGTGAGAAAGGGCCTCTGAGGCATTTTCCCAAAACACCCTACAAACCCATCTGAGGAGTCAGCTCTTTCTTAGACAGCGTTAGGAGGACTGGGGATAAAGGCTTAAAAAAAAACACTGACAAAAATGCAAAGCAACCACAGCAGGTGTAGTTTTAACTGCAACAGAATATTTCATCAGTAAATTTTCGCGGCTCATTTAGGAATACGAGGTTCTCGGCTGCAGACTCACAAAGACCCATACGCAGGAAAGAGCCTCTCAGGTGCTGGGGTCAGACCAGTCAGGCAGACGCTCAGCTCTCTATGCCTCAGCTCCCGGAATGAAAAGAAGGAGCAGGCGGAAAGCCGTCTGGAAACGGGTCTGGAACTTTCTGAGAGATGAACTCATTTTCAGTATCAGGCTGGCGTTAATTAAGTACATGGGGGCATGGGGTGACCAGCGCGCCTGCAGACTCTTCCAGAAGGGGCTTCGGGCAACAGACGGACTGCACCTCCACCAGAAGGACCGCTCTCACAGCTGCAGGGGCCCTGCTCGCTCGCTCGCTCTGTCTGTCTGTCCCTCCGGGTCTCTGGCTGCCTTTCTCTCTCTCTTCCTCTCAGTCTCTGTCTCTGTCTCTTCTGCCTTTCTTCCTCTCTTCCTCTGTCTCTTCCTCTTTGTCTCTCCATCTCTCTCTGTGTCTCTGTCTCTCTGTCTCTACTAGCAGGCTCACTAGCAACACACCATCCCTGCACTCCCTGATGAATCACACATCCCAATTTCACCTTCTCAGAGCGAAGTGGCCTTCTACGCTACACTTCCCGTCTGGCCACCCTACAGTGGTTTTTTAGAGCCTAAAAACCAGATAAGAATATAGCTATGAAAACGCTCCAGGATCCGCACTTTCTGCTGGCCTCCTCAAACCAATCTTAAAATGAGGTACAGAACGGCAATGCCATGTGACCCTGGGTCCCCACGTGACTGTGACAGGCAGCAGGGGTGCAGCCGGGCCACCCCGCAGCAGCTGGGCAGCTATGCTCATGGAGCAGTGCACTGGGAGAGACTCACCGAGAGAAGCTTCCACGTCATGGGACGCACTGGCTTGGGGATCCCGGACCAGCTCAGTTTCCGCAGCTCCTCTGGGGACAAGAGGAAAAGACAAAGGGAAACGGGTTACAAAGGTCAGCCTCATCCCTGGCCCCCCAATATACTCCACCAGCACTATGAGGGACCCTGGACATGAAACCAGAACAAACCGAAATTATAAACATTTCGGTGACTGATTTTTTGGGTGGAAGCAGCCTTTGAGACAGGGTCTCCCTATGCATTTCTGGCTGGCTGTGAACTCACTATGTAGCCCAGGCTGGCCTCAAACTCACAGGGATCCTCCTGCCTCAGCTGCTCAAGTGCTGGGATGACAGATGTGCACTACTAAACCTAGCTGATTGCACTTAATATACAAGAGAAGGTGAACATCACCGTTCAAACAGAGAGCACGCATTTGGGACACACATCCAAGTGTCCCTGGAGCCGCTGGGCACAGTGGGGTTCCTCCCTCCTTCCCTCTGCTGCTCATCTCTGTGTGTCACACACCCCCAGCCCCTCACCTGGTGGCCAGCTTTATACTTGGTTTCCCCCTTCTCCCCTAACCCCGTCTCACTCTCCCATTCACGGCGGGAAACCGACAGGCTTGGCTTTCGCGGTGCGGCTTTGGAAGTACTGCTCTCTGGAGATAGGCTAGGCTTTGCACAGCATCAACCGGGAACGCAGTCACGCTGTGCGCAGCCAGGGCTTCAGGGCAGAAAAGCGCACATCAGAGCGGGGTTTACAAAGCCAGTGGTGGGAAGAGGCAGAGGCAGGACAGGAGCAAGAGGCCCGCACTCCACCTGCCCTCAGTGCCCCTTGAGAGCCCTGTCCTCACACCCTGGACAGCCGCACAGCCCAGCCCACGTGCAGGTGTGTCTACACCACACATAGCCAGCACCAGTGAGCCAGATCATTTCCTCCCCTAAGTGAGAATCCAGCCTTAGGTTGTTCTCTAACAGCTCAGAGCCAGTGATTAATACGAAGAATAAAAGAAATGATTAAAGAGAAGACTTTGGTAGTATAATCAACAAAATACAAAGACCTGACATCTAATCTTTTTCCAATTACTACAGTCTAAGGAAAGTAAGTACAGAATAATTGGGCAATGGTACCAGCAATAACGTGCATTTTACGGCAATCTCAGAAAAGTATCAAATCTTCCCAGCTCCCCAAGGATATTATGAAAAGCAGGAACTAATATCTGAACGCCAAGGAGGTAAGGTTTACCAGGGCGCTCCCAGCACCTCGCCAGACCCCGCACAGCCCCGTGCCGCTGATGCAGTTTCAGAAAGCAGAGCAGAGAACACCAGCATGTCGCCAGTCTCTGCACCTGTCTCCTCATTAATCGAGCTCTCAGAAAGTCAAAAGCTCGGACAGACAGCAGGAGGCACAACTCTCCTCCCTCTGTTTCCAGAGAGCTTTCAATAGGTCATCTGACTCTGCTCTGAGGACACCCGAGTCCATCAGGACCACGCATGCTGTCATGCGAAGAAGGGGTCTCAGGGGGCTAGGGGACCCCACCAAGGTCACATGGGAACGCGGCTGCCTGCAACACCAGGGTCTCCCCACGGTGCTACCGCTGGTCCTTCAAAGAGCTCTGTAACAGACAATCTCACAAGCAACGGAGAGCTCTGACCTGAAACCTCAGCCCACCGAAACACAGCGGGGCAGCCTAAGCACAGTACAGCAAGTGGGATTTCCTCCCGGGGGAGGGAACGGTCCATGCAGGAAAGCTTGTCCCTGTACCATGTGTTCAACTGATAGGGAAAAGCCATCGTGACAGGTCCCAGGACAGCCTTTCATCCAGGACCCTGTCACTCCTTTCGCAGAACCCCAGCTGAGCACAGTGGCCACACGTCCCTCTGCAGCCTGCAGCCAGGGAACTGGGGCCAACCCCACCCCACCCCACCCCACATGCACCTAAGTGCATCAGGCAAGCCTCAGGGGGCCGAGACCCAGTGCACCGGCAACACCGCCCGAGCCATGGAACAGGTCTGGGAACACCGCTGCTCCTGGGAAGCCATGTGGTGGTGACTTTCTCTTCCTTTCTCTGAGCGTGCCGTGATTCAACAGGAGGCTAGGACTGGGACAACCATCCAGAGCTCCACCAGCCTGAGGAAGAAGCCAACTACGAAAGCGAGAAGACCAGGCAGGGAACAGAGGTCAGAGCTGCTAAGCCAGACGGCCAGGTACAAGAACTGTCCAAAATCAGCAGGTTTTCTGCTGGCAAGAAGAGAAACAGGAAGTGCCACAGCCTTCCCAAGAAGCATGCAGTACCACACAGAAACATGACCAGACCTCACTTAAAGACACATGAAAAGGAAACAGCTCCCAGCTTCACTGTTAAGGCTTCCATCAGGAGTGTCCCTCAAGAGCATCACGCACTCATAGGCAGGGGCTAGAGGGGACTGGACCTGAAGCTGGCTTGCTGTGGGAGGTGGACAGATGGCTATTTATTTGGCTGGCAGAAGGGGATGGATGAATGGACAAACAGATAGACAATGGATGATGAGTGGATGGTGGCCTGGTTACCTGTCTAATTAGCTGGCTGGCTGGCTGGCTGGCTGGCTGGCTGGCTGGGATGGATGGATGGATGGATGGATGGATGGATGGATGGATGGATGGTTGGCTGGCCTGTTGGCTGGTTGGTCAGCTGGCTAGATAGCTGGCTGCCTGGCTAGTTCACTGATTGGTTAGTTAGCTTGTTGGTAACTTAGCTAGCTGGCTGGCTGATTGGTGGATTGGCTGCTCAGCTGACTGGTTGGTTATTTGTTTGGAGTAGTAATAATATTTTAAGTATAATTTTATATAAAAATCTGCACGTAGGCCCTCCAACAAAATCTAGACGTTTCCATCACTCTTTTCTAGTAATTCTGCCTACGCCTGAACTAACTACCTTGTGATATCTGCCGACACCTGTCATTACAGATGAGTTTTCCCTGTTCTTTCAATCCATATAAACACCACATGCAGTAACACTTTTCTGTACACTACTTCTTTTGTTCAAAATATGTCTATAAAAGCCACACTGTTGCAGGAACCCTATTTCATCACTAAAAGGTGAAACAGTATTCTATTCTGTGAGCACTGCTCAGTTTGTTGACAAATCCACCCATTCAAGCACAGCTCAGTTACAAGTTTTCGCCCTAAAGAAGCTGCTCCAAACGTTCCTGTGGGTGTGTTTTCATTTCTCTTAGGCAAACATTAAGGAGTGGAATAGACAGGTCAGATGGCTGATGTATGTTTATCTTTATGGATAAAAGAAGAACGTGGTACCATTTGACTTTGCCCATCAGCAACGTACCAAAGGTTCAAGCGCTCACAACCTGGTCAAAATTTAGTGCTGCTGACCTTTCTCATTTTACATCACTTGGTACTAGCGATGCAAGTCGGTTATTTTGTGATGACCAATGAGGCTGTTTCCTGAATGTGTTTCCATGTTATCAGCCACATCTAACCATCTGTGAAGTGTGCACTGAAACACTCATCCTGCACTGGAACCTTCTTTCACTGAACCGTTCATAGATTGGCTGCTGGTGTTGGTGTTGTTGATGATCTATGAGTCTGTTTCTAACGACTAGCTTTTCTTCTTCCTGACCATGAGCCGTGTCTTCCTGCTTTACTGCAAGCTGGTTACTCTTCTGCTGACCGCTAGATGTTCCAACTATCAACTGATCGCCGAGTCTTGTGCCTGTTTATCCTTTGCCAGCCAGTGTGATGTTATCATTTTCCAGAACTTTCTCCCAGCGTGTTCTGTCTCTATGTCTCTCTGTCTCTGTGTGTCTGTCTCTCTCTCTCTGTCTCCCCCGGAACTCAGTTCCCATGGCTCTGGCAACTGTTCCATATACTGCTTCCTGGTGACTTTTCCCATTTGTGGACGTCACCCAACTCCTAGACAGTCGAGTGCTCAGCCAGGGACCTGATGGCAGTCTTAACAGGCATCTGGAGCTCTTGTAATGACTCCCTCTCGCCAGCCCCCGAACTCCCGGTCCAGCTCTTCACTCACAAGATGCTGGGTTTCTCAGGCTCCCCCTTCACTGTGCCCCAGATGCAGCCCAAGCGCCAGCAGGGTCCCCCGCTCGCAGCCCCTCTCGGGCCACGCCCCGCACCGCCTCCTGGCCCACGTCTAAGCACAGTTTCACACACTTGGTCGAGTTTCCTGCTGTTTCCCGCAGAAGAGCAAACTGCAGTCAGTCCTTCTCGGGTTGAAGCAAAAGTTGATTTTAAAACAATTTTGTCTATATTCTTCAGGAATACTGGTCTCTGATTCACTTTTAGGCTATGTGACTTTACAAAAACCAACTGTAGAAGTGTTTACCTCTTTGCTTCTAAAAGACTTCTTAGAGGACCGGCATCATCTCGTCCTTCAGCAGCTGGCAGAGCTCACCGTCCCGAAGGCCATCATGCCCTGACCTTTTCTCCGTGTGAAGGCTTTTTATTGCAAACTGTTTCTAAAGTCAGTAAGGGATACTAACGGGTTGCTTCTTCTTGTATCGGTTTTATTAAGCCGTGTTTCAAAGACTGCGCCCTTTCCTGTAGGCTCCACAATGCAGTGGCACAGACCTGTAACTAGCACCCTCACCGTCTTTAACGTCTGCCGACCTGTAGTGGTGCCCTCTTTCATTTCTCACACTGCTCACTTGTGATTCTCTTTTTTCTGATTTTTCACCTCTAAATTGTTCTCTCCTTTTACTTGGTTTTGGTTAGTTTCTTAAGGTAGAGATTTTGACCACTAATTTGAAACTTTTTCTCTCTCTTCTGGAAGGCATTTCAAGCTGCTAAATTTCCCCTGACAGTACTACTCTCACTGGATCACACAATTTTGGTATGTGCTAAGTTCCAAATACTTTGATTTTCCCTGTGATTTCTTTGACTCTTGAGTCATTTGGAAGTACACAAATACATATCAGAATTTTTATTTCCTGGTACCTTACTGTTACTGATGTCTAATTTAAAGCATTTGGCCAGATCAACTGAGACTTGCTTCAGCCTCCTGCCTTTTCTACAACTTGTCCTGGCGAGCAGGTGGTCCACGTGGTGAGTGTGCGCTGCA